ACGTTCGATTATTTATTTAAATGACATTTGATAAACAAAACAACATCAAGTGTCTGTTAATTAGAAATAAGTTTCACAAAAAGAATATATTGAAGTTCAATTAAGTTTTAGTTGTCATCCTACTACGATCTAAATTCTGTAGTCGACTTGTACCGTTTTGTGGCTCTTGATTAATTTGATTGAATTTGAAGAACAGTTTCTTGAGCTCCTTTCTAAATAGAGCACTTGACAATGTGAATAAATAAAAACTTAAGCAGGGACCATTATTTGTAAGCATACCAAGAACATCTATGATCATACTTTCTTGAGCTACTTGAAAGACAGTTTGTGTTTGAAGAGCAGTTATTGATGTATAAATCGTTGCAGTCGAATATGCCAATATTGTCACACAATACACAAATACTTGAATAAATAACATTCGAAGCATATTTCTATTGGTACGTTGGTTGTTTTGATTAGTTTGATTTGCCATAATATTTGATGGAACTACATGAAGTCGTTTTGATCGTTCCATATTCCTGAATGTCAATATACTACAAAGTAACATACAACATAATGGACATAATCCAAAATATATCAGATTAAAAAATGACAAAATGATACGATAAATCCCTGGAGGACCTGGAGGATAGCAAATGGGTGTTTGAGTATCTGGTATAATATCAATCTTGAAAAAGAACGGTATATGAATATATACGATAAAACCCAGAAAGATTGTCAGTGGTATGATTCGACTAGCTACATGAGGAGAACTCCATGATCTCTTCTTCGTTGATGTGGAACTAGAAAGATACCGATCACCACAAGCCAAGGCTACTAACCATGGACACAATCCTCTATCAAAGAAAAAAAGTTATATATATATGAAAAAAACCATATGTACTTCGCTGAACTATGTATGTACCTTATTGAGTATAATAAAAACCATGTTATTTTACAGAAGATTACTGAATGTGCACCCGGATCTGTATCGATAAAACCAGATTGAATCATTCTCATTGGTAAAGTATAACATGTATCCACTAATCCAATAATAGCCGCTGCTAAAAAGTACATACTGCAAGGATTTGATCGTAATGCAGGACGAGTAAATATATAAATACTCAGTAAATGACCTACAACACCGAGAGGTATAACGACGTAACAATAACATCGAACAAACATCATGGAAATATAATTTAAGTTATTCGCTGCTAATTGAAGACTTGAAATGGTCGACATCTGTGATAAACAATAATAAAGGCTGAATTTTGGTATCGTACGAGAGAAATGATCTAAAATATATTATACTTCTCAAATGACCAAAAAGAAATAGAATGAATGAATGAACTTAGTTACGATCTCTTTATGAAATAGTAAAAAATACTATTATGCCTTCTTATTTTTCATCGAGAGCTTAGAAATGTCATCTTTAGGAGATGTTCATAGAGGTCAAAAAAAGGACACTTCTAAATAATGATTATCATCAAAGTCGGACTTTACTATAGTAATTAATGTGTGAAAACTACTATAAATACAAACTTTTTTTGATTATAACAGAAATGCTGTTTATTCACTCAAACCGAACATAATACATTTTGGCTGATAAGAAAGCCAAATTTCATCAAGATCATAAATCACATATAGGCAAATTATAAATAGTATAACATTGACGATTGTATAAAATATTTCAGAAGATATTTCTCTGTTTCTTTATCATTTAATATGAAAAATAAATGTAAGAAGATATATTTACAAGAGACTATTTGACATTGTCTACAAACGAAAATAACAAAAATATTTATAAAGTAATTGTATTGCTGCTGTTTATCTTCTTTTCTTTAAATGAACTTCTAAAAAAAAACAAATTATTACAGCATGTATGCACTTTCTGGAAAATATATACTTTCTTTGTTAAATATTATTTCAACTGAATGAATTTTATAATGAAGTTTTATAAAAAGAAATGTTCTTAAATTCCTGTTCTTTTAACATTACAGTCAAATCTGTCAAAAAAAGCAAAATATTTCTTTTCTTTGAAAAAGTACTATTAAAAACTTATTCAATGGAGACAATATGTAATTTTCTTGAGATTATAACATGTTAAATAAAGGAAATGTGAATATAGAATCTTCATCCATACTGTTAATTAGTTTGATCTTTGTTTGCAGTTATGAAGCTACCTGTCATACCATATAATATACTATTTATACTCAAAGAAAAATACTGATGAAAATAATGGTAATTTCCCAATCGGAAACAAAAATTACATTAATCATCAGACCGATAATGAGAGGCGCGGACAAACAGACTATTCAGTACTGTTGAACGAACAGATAATATAAGTATTTCTCAAACCAATAATGTTTAAGTACTGAACTGCAATGGAAAAAAAATGAAACTGTCATATGAAAAGAGAAGACACGCAGAATTTTGAGATTTTATTCATTTTGAAACTGAATAGAATCATGTAGTATTAAATTAAAAATTGCTTAGAGTAAATAGTGCAGTCTGTTGATTTTCAACTGATATTATTCGATTAGATTGATCAGTTTTGATTGCAACGACTCATACATTAAATATTACTTTGTATTTATTTTGAATATAAAATAATATTTTTCAGAAAAAAAGATTACATTATAAAAGAAAAGTAATAGAAAGTATAAAATACTGTTTCATGAATGTCGACACGAGTTCCTGTCATCTTGAAAAGTTAAGGTGAAGATGAAGTAAGAGATATCCACATCCTTAACTAAAAACTATTCTGTTAATATATATCATTGTTACCACCATAAATATAAATCCATATCGAATAATTTTAATGTATAATTATCAAGTAATTTTTCAGATTCGATTAACATTTTCAATTTTGCAACCCAATTTGCACTCACCCATGCAAGACATATTGAATACAAATTACTAGTATTTCGATTTGTTTTCTCTAATAGAAATCGTACACATGATTTTAAATCTTTCGCCTGAATATTTACTGTAAGATGTTGGATTTGAGGGAATAAAGCAACAAGTATTTGAAGTTTCTCAAATGTACATCTTCGTTTAAAAGTCACATTTGTAATAATATTTCTACTGGATACCAATTGAAATAATTGATTGTGTTGAGTAGAATTATAAGTAATTCCATAAAGTGGCATAGATTCGAATTCTAGGGTATGAATATGAGGAGTCCAACGTAATAATTCAATTAATTTTGTTAAAGAAAGATAATCACATTGAATAATTAATTTAGTAAGTTGTTTTAAAGGAAAAACACGATTAACATTGAATGCAATCGAATTTTGAGTATTTTTAAACCCATCTTTAAAAGTAAGTGTAGTAACATTTGGAAAATAATATTTACACGTATTTGTTTGTTTTTCACTGTGAATTTGAAGATGTTCAACAGATTTCAATTCAGTTTCCTTAGAATTTAAACAGGTTAATTCCTCAGGTTGATTACATATTGTATAAAATTTTCTTCTAAAAAATAAAAATAATTTATGCATATCGTACAATTTAAAATCTAGTTTATTAATACCTATATGGATTTGTTGAATAGAATACTGTACAATTTCGGTGTCGTTCCTGAATATATTGTTGTATAAAAAACCATTGTCGTTTGATCCAAAATGAAGATGAAAATTTATCAGTTGGAGTATTCGGCATCATTGGATTAACATTATAATTGTTGGCAATGATGTATTTCGCCCAATTTCCATGTCGAATATCAAATACCCGTAAATTCGGCATATGAGATACTATCAATTGTTCCCATCTATTAGAACTCACATACGCTTGATCGGAATTACAATCTATAGAAATATGTAAAACTTGTACTCGATGAAACATATCTATGATCATTTGTTGAAATTGTACGAAATCTACGCAGTTAAGACCTAGTGAAACTTTGGTCAAATAGGCTAATACAAATGGAAATGGTTTCGTATATTTTGTCCATGAGTTGGTTATATCAGAAAGATGTAAACGACGAAGCTGAGGAGTATGCGATAATAAGCTGTAAAGTTGATTGTTGGAAATACAATGCTTGATGATTAAATGCTCGATGGGACTGTATTGATCGAGTGTTGGCAATGATAATTCATTATAATGTGATCCTTTCAATGATAAACTGCAATATTTCAATGAACTCATACGAATTATCTGAGAATAAATATAAGTCTTATATTGAACATTGTCTGCAGATGAGATAGATAATGAAGATAGACATGGTAAAGAAAGTAATATAGGAACGAGATATTCAAGATGTTTGGATTCTATATTATTAACATTAAGTGTTTCAAGACGAAAACACTCGGCTAGAATATGAATTGGTGAATAAATATCATCGTATAAACATATATTTGATAAATGAAACGAATAAATTCGATGTTTATTCAGCATAATAATATCTTTATTGTATCGTTGAAATAATGATTTTGATATAGATGAAAGATTAACTTCAATTGGAAGAGATGAATTAGCTATAAGATTATAAAATCGTGTATTAAGTGAATAAAAAATATTGTAAACATCATGAAAATCTAATAGTTCAAATATTTCATAGATTAATTCATTAGAAAGATCTTCAATACATGTAATCAGTTCTTTTAATGGACTGAAAAAAAAGAAAAATATTTATATTAACGAATATTTTCTGTTAACTCACCACCGATTCGTTTCAACTGAAAAAAAAATAGAAATTATAAAAATATTTATTTATGTATATTTTACCTTGTATCTTTTGTTTTTTATTATTATTATAGTTATTGACATTGTTAATTCGTTGACGTTTTACTTGTTCCATATAGATAATCTCTGTATTGTAAATCGATAATAAAACGTCGTTTATTCAACAAGCGAAAGGGTATAATGTAAATAATTGTGCGATAATTTTCAACAAAGAGTATGGGAAGAAAAATAACAAATACGCACACCAAATGAGTCTCCCCAATAAAAAAAAGACACATCAGCAGAATAAGAAAAATATCGAATACGACTATCGAATGGCTGGTCTCAATAGAAAAGTACATTTTAGAGGAAGAAAAACGAAGAGAAAGATAAACGCGTATTTATTGCTAAAGGTGAGTAATACAAAATAGTAAAACTATCGAAAATTTTCCACGTGTAAAAAAAATACATAGACTATCGTTTTAAATTTTCATAGTTCATATTTAGCGATCTTATGAGTAATCATATAATGAGATTTTGATGGTTTTCACAATATATTTAAAATTTTTTTTAATACGTATATATGACAGACTTACAAGGAGCAAAGTGCAGGTTGAATGTACTCAGAATATTTGTACCTGTTCAGTACTTACTACCTTGATTTCGGCAAAAACATACGATAAAATATCAACTTAATGCATTACTACGGTAGTCTTTGTATCTGTTTTTTAATAATGTGATATTATATCAGTTGTATGTGTCTTGTTTTCATCCCTCAATACTTCTCGACTAATTCTCATTTGGATTGTAAAAAGCAATAAAATAATAAACCGTTCTCATTGTATGCATTTGTAATTTGAAATCATACGGAGCAGTGAGTGACACGATATCTCTGAAGATCATACGTGCCCGAGTAGTCGCTTCTTTTCGACGTTACATCTTAGTGCACGACTCCTATCAATCTTTTTCAATAATACATGCATGTTAATGACGTTTGAAATGCATGTAAATACAGCAAAGGTTTAACAGATTTAAAATATAATCATCAATTCAATACTTCTTCGAATAAACAATACTAGGGTGTAGGCAGATATACCATGCGCAGTTTACATTCACCCTCTTTCATAAATGTTTTGCATTAGTATATATGATAGATATATGAGACATACAAAAGATCTACAATCATAGTATACTTGAAATTACATTGTGATTATGCACTTTTTGCTACGCACCACGACAAGAAGATAAGGAAAAGAAGCGTAGTCGTGGCATGCTAACGTGTCACTGAATCATAAAAATATATTGTATTTAAAGAACGATTTTTATCTCGATTCAAACAATATTAGCAACAAAATAAAGAAAATTAATATGTCACAAATGAGTTCATCATGGCAACAGATGAATTATGATCCTTCTAATCAAGGATATCCATGCATACGTGTAGGTGGTCTTGCCGGAGCTGGTATGTATTTTATTTTTTAGTCAGATGATTCATTTTACTTATACTTTCATTTAGGTAAATCAACTATTCTTCATATTATAAAACAGGATGAAACTGCTGCAGTAATTCAAACTATCGGTGTTAGTTTTGAAAAATGGACAACTAGTAATATGGATTTTACGCCATGGGAATATGGTGGACGAATGGGAATCCGTTCATTGCCGTTAGTCTATCACGAACGGACCAAAGCGCTCATCTTTGTTATTGATTCAAATGATAGAAATAGAATAAATGAAGCATGTAAGGAATTACATGGAATAGCAAACGATGACGAACTTCGACATAAACCTATTCTCATTTTTGCCAATAAACAAGATTTACCCAACGGAATGAGTCTTGATGAACTGCGAAACGAACTTGATTTGGGTGAATTTGATGGAAATACCAAGTGGCATATACAAGCAGTATCTGCTATTCAAAATAAAGGTTTCAAGGAAGGCTTTGAATGGTTGGCAAATACTTTGACGAAGAAGACTGACTTCACGACGCCGATCATAGAGACATTTAACGATTCGATGGTAATGAAAAATGATCTTTTGTCCGTATTGGATTTCGTTAATTTGAAAAAATTCTTGAAAAAATTTGTTAAATTTTAATATTTTGTTTTTGTATCGATTTGTTTTATACATAATGCATTTATATGTACAGAAATCAAAGTAGAGTTTTCTTCTAAAATATAGAGAAAGACCAGCATCTTGAATATATGAAGATAGGTGTATGTATGAGAGTTTTACATCCATTCTATTTTTCTTCTTTATTTCTAGTCAAAAATACTAATACATTTTGTAACTATATTATTTCGATTCTAAATTCACATCTGTGCTATAGTTTATCATATATATAAATCTAATAATGACAAGAGTACAGTGATAATAACATAGATAATAAACTGGAATACTTTCGGATTTATACTGAGGATATTATGTTTCCATGAATATGTTGTTCATCGAGTAAAAATGCTCCGCTGCTACCATTTTGTTTTTATTGTCCATCTCGGGCTCTATTGATACATCTTTACAATATCGCTGTTAACGTAGATTAATGCCAGTTAATAGTTGAATTGAATCAGGTTGCGGGTGCGAATGAATAGTCGTTAGTACCGGTTTCATCCTTTCTTAAGAGATTTATCAGATGGCTTTTGTAATAATTTTAAATGATTCAAAATATAGTCAATGCTAAGCTAAAATTCTTTTATCTTATTCTAGTTGTCGATAAAAAAATTCAGTTCTCGATGCGTTGAGCTAGATATATTCTACTGGGAAAATATGTACGCCTGTTTTTGTTAACTTGTAGAAGTTGAAAGAGTGCGAATAAATGGATAGGATTATCGCTTTTATTATACTCTCATTCACATTCTCAAGATATGATGACTGCTTTTGATCTTGCTTCAGAAACTCTTTCATTGTACGATTAAGAAGAGAAATGCAAGATGAAATAATAGTTTATTTCCACTAAACAAAACAACGAGAGAAGGTACTGAAGGTGGATAGATGGATATAGCAACGTATTGGAATACTCCATAGAACGAAAAGAGAAAAAAACATGGATATATGGAAAATTCCAACGACAATATTACTACGTCACAGATAGCGACCTCATAATTTCTCTCCAATCGTTATTTTACAAGTTTTTGTCGTCCTCTCATTTTCATTCATACTATGATGATGAAAAAAAGGTAACGAGCTATTTCTCCCCATTCTGTTTTGACTCATTCAATGCAATACCCATAAAAAACGATTCTTTTCGACGGAAGCGTGCATTTAATACTCATTTCGTTACACAACACACATACGACAAGAACTTTCCAACATAGCCTATTTTCAACTTTAACGTCAAACGATATTGTTCCGTCAATGGAAACCTTACCAATTGAATTACTTCATCGTATTTTTGATGATGTCGATACTGAAACGATTTTATTTTCAGTTCGATCTGTATCACGATTATTTCGAGCAGTTGTCAACACTTATAATCGATATTGCTTGAATATGAAATCAATTCCGAAATCAAATTTTTATCTTTTATGTCGATTTATTAAACCTTGCAATGTTATATCATTAACACTTTCGAATGATGAGAAAAGTTCTGATCAGATTGATTTATTTGTATCTCTTGTTCGTCTTCGACAATTCACTTGCCTTCGTTCCATAACTTTTCTTAATATCGATCAATTTCAATTAAACTTTATTTTAAAACGAATCAATCTTCATTCACTTATTTCATTATCATTTACTATTCGAAAATATGACGATAGACGGATGAAAACAACAAATAATCTTCTTTTGTCACTTACTTCACATTCAAAACTTCGTAAACTAGAATATGATATAACAGCTAAAAGAATGACAAAAGTCTCATGGCCAATAAATAGTACAATTCAATATTTGACTATCAACAATAGCATAACTATGGATTGTCTTCTTACAATACTTAAATCATCTCCTTATCTACACACAATTACTATGAAGAAAAAATTTGATGAGCTCTACAATCATAGACTTATTCCTAAATGTTCTTCTTCAACATCTTTTCAACAAATAAGATCATTGACTATCGAAGAACTTAATTTAACCATAGATGAACTTGAATCATATCTCTCATTGACACCATCACTTGTTTATTTAAAGCTGATTGGTGAGATATGTACACTCGATGGTAAACGATGGGAACAATTCATTGAACTAAATCTTCCTCATCTGAACAAATTTGAATTTTTCTTTACTCATTGGGATCCAGTTAACAGACCCCTTGAAGATCTTCGATTGATGCTTGCTTTATTTCAAACACTATTCTGGACTGAACATAAAAAATGGTTTGTTAATTGTGAATATTATTTTGATTACTCAACAAACATACGTATTTATACGCGACCAATATGCAAATCTACTCTCGAATACAAACCACAATTTAAAAAGCTTTCCTTATCAACTATTGATGAAGTGATAGAAGACGATCCATCAAAAATGACTAATATCGAATCAATGGTTTTTAAATGGGTTGAATTTCTAAGTACTGATGCCGACGAAAAAGTATGTTGTTCAATTAATCTATTATGTTCGAACAAGTATAGAAGTGTAGAATGAAGAATAGTCTTTTTCAGGTAGGGTCATCTCAGATGTAAGGATATGCGTGATATTATCTTCCTGTCACACCTATACTCATCTTTAGAAAAAAAAGAGCATATTCAATGGATGAAATCTATGAAAATTTGTTGTTGCTATCTTGACTATACCATATTGAGCTTAGAATATAACAACTAATTTGTGAGAATAGTATCAATGTTAACGCAAAATGCTTATTCTTCATGAATATTTCACTTCCTATTGTCTAATGTTTCAAAGTAAACATAAAAATTTCTGTCAGTTGTATCCTAATGAATTCGACAGTTTAATGAAAATATCTATTTTCTTATTTTATTTGAATTCTGATCTATAATTAAAATATCTATAGACTTTAATATTTCATTTTAAAAATGAAAATTTTAAACATATGATGATGATCTGCAGTAAAACAAATATTTCGTCGTTGTTTATTTATACTATTAAACCTGAAAGCATCTTTATTTACCTATTTTTAGAACGTGAAAAGGAACCGTCTTCTTTTTACAAAAGCGACTGAAGTTGATATTAACCTCTGTTGGAGTTCGGCGTTATTTTCATTCCACTCATTTTCAATACTCATTGATGTCCAACAAATACATCGAATGAAACTGGAAATTAATTGCGCGCGTTCACAGATGGAAAATACATGGACTCAAATTAGTATACTTCTTGAACACGCATGTAATCTTTCATCACTAATGCTGGATGGTAATTTACATAAAAAGGCAATATGTTCAGCTGTTGAAAATATGTATTCAATTCTGCCACGACAATTAAAACATTTAAAAATACCAATTAATAATTTGGATAAAATAGAAAGAATTCTTGGACGGTGTGAAAATTTGTCTACAATTAGATTTAACAAAAAGTCGAAATTATCAAAAGAAATAATTCAATGGTTCAAAGACAATACAACAAATTCCAGCTATTGGAAAGATAACTGTACAACCATTATATGGCTTGGGAAGAAAACGATTCCATCAAGTGACGACACTATACCCAATAAACGAATCAAACTCACTGATAACCGATCAGATTCCGAGTCGATTTGATTTATTAATAGTTTGAAAACAATACTCAATCAAGAATCATTGTGAGATTCGATGAATTACAGTTTGCCGGTTTTATTCTACTATTTTGCATTTATAATTTTTTTAAACTACTAACCGCCAAAATAAACATGATATGATATATGATAAAACTATTTTAGACTATACATGTATATGGAATAGATTTTTATAAAAATATTAATTTCTCTTGTAATATTTATAAATACAATTATATAACAAGATTCGTCAATGCTTGCTGAGCTCGATATCGATAGACTGGTCAATTGTTATAGTTTTAAGAAATGTTCTAGATTGGTTATCAACTATATCTTCAGGCGAAATTCTTCTGACCTGATAGTCTCACGTCAAATCTCAGACTCATGATCATATAGAATGTTTATGTAGAAATCGAAACTATATTCTTTATACTTTTGTAAAATACTCTCTAAAATGGTTAGAGTGTGAGTAGAATAGATATGATACAAGCTGTTATTATATAATATTATCGCTTTATTTCTTAGTATTATTATCAGCAATAATTACAAAACTTCGATTTATGATAGAATTCATAATCGATTCAAAAATAAAAATAGTGCATGCAGTTAATATAATCCGGTATCAGGTCAGCAGTGAATTCGTTTGAGTGAAGTAGGATATTATGGAGATCGTTTGAGCACAAAAAATTGTGCATAATCATGCATGGCAGCGTTTTCACACATCTTTAAATAGTTATTGAAACCACCAGCATAACGCATGACGCAATTTGTTTTCCCTGAAAGGGACGAACCATTGTACCAAGAATTACCTGTTGAACATAAGATCTGGCCAGCAACCATATCGACATGATCCATCCAAGCATTTTGTGCGTTGACTGTAGGCTCTATACTATCAATATTATGCATCTTGAGATAATCAATGCAATTTATTATCCATTTAACATTCTCTTCAATATGAGGAATCATGTTACCTAAATCTACAGGACTACCAGGACCTGTAATAGTGAAAAGATTTGGAAAATGAGCCATCATCAAGCCAAGCAATGTACGTGGTCTTATTGTCCATTTGTCTCGAAGTGTCTGGCCTGAACGACCATGAATATCAATGTTAAATATAGCTCCCGTAATTGCATCGAATCCAATGGCAAGTACAATATCATCAACATCATAATGCTTGTCTTCAATTTGAATACCTGTTGGTGTAATTTCATCAATATTTTTATTGCGTATATCGACGAGTGTAACATTATCACGATTAAATGTTTCATAATATTGACTGGTTACACAAGGACGTTTGGTGCCAAAAAGATGATCATATGGAAACAAAGTTTCAGCAACAGCAGGATCTTTAACGGTCTTACGTATTTTATCACAGATAAGCTTCGAAATTATTTCACTGATTGCCTTATCGTTCAATCGTCCTTGAAACGCTGTATAAAATGAAAATCCTCCTCTTTTCCATCCTTCCTCAAAGCGCTCTGCATCGGTCATAGTCGCAATTGAAGAATCATTGACGTAGCCAAAAAAGATGCCTGCCGGTGATTCTAACGATTGACGTCGGCGTTGGGTATAATTTGATTTCCAATCGTCTTCATATTCTGAATCGACTGGTTCATAATTTGCTGGAATAACAAAATTCGGTGTTCGTTGGAACACATACAAATGAGTAGCTTGTTTCGCAATCATTGGAATGCACTGAACACCTGATGCTCCTGTACCGATAATGGCTACACGGCGATCAATAAAACTAACATCATCTGCTGGCCAATGGCTGGTGCTATAGACATTTCCTTTAAATTGATCGAGTCCTTTTATATTCGGATCTTTGGGAATTGAAAGACAACCTGTTGCCATAATGCAAAACTTCGCTATTATATGATCATCACGATTTGTTGTTATTGCCCATTGTGATCGATCTTCATCGTAAATGACGCTTGTCACACGAGTTTCGAGTTGAATGTGCTTGCGTAAATCGAATTTATCGACGACATGATTAAGATAACGAAGAATTTCTGGTTGTTTAGCAAAACGCTCTGACCAGTGCCACTGTTGTTGTAATTCATCACTAAATGAATACGAGTATTGCATGCTTTCAACGTCACATCGTGCACCAGGATATCGATTCCAGTGCCAGGTACCACCAATTTCATGACCTGCCTCAAAGATTTTTGCTGAATATCCTCGTTCACGTAATGCGTGCAGCATGGCTAAACCGGCAAATCCAGCGCCAACGACTAAAGCATCAATTGTCTCCGGAAGATGTTCAACACCATTTGTATTGAGGACATGTTCAACACCATTTGTATAGGGAGCATGTTCAACGCCATTTGTATTGGGAACATGTTCAACTCCATTTGTAATGAGGACATGTTCAACACCATTTGTATAGGGAGCATGTTCAACGCCATTTGTATTGGGAACACGTTCAACTCCATTCGTATCAGGAACATGCTTAACACCATTGGTGTTAGGAAGATGTTCAACACATTTCATGTCTTTCTTCATATTCATTATATTTGCCATCTCTAGTAATAAAAGAGTTATGTTAAGATGTGACAATAATATGTGTCAAAAAGTCTTCTTAATCTGCTGAAATTCATTTATCGACAATATTTTATTCTCGGGTAAAACTGAAAGATTCCGAAGAGATAAAAAGGTGCGATGCTTTTGTCTTATTTTACTTTAGAATATAAAGAAAAATACAATAAATTATAGATCTTTAAATTCTTTTGCATTCTTAAGAAATGGTTAACTATTTTAATCAGATGATAATTTATCTTTTGGTCAATAATATCTCGACAAGTCTTAAAAAAAGTACAAATATACATGACAACTTTAAATAGTAACGGATTTTGGTTTTATTTAAAAATATATGATATTAACAATACAGCTCTATAACTTAAAACAACGATTAAACTAGTGTGTGAGAACTTACTGATTAATAAAGGTTCACTTTTCTTTGTTCATTCTCAAATACTAAAAGACGTAAATGATATGAAACTCAACAGAATTTGACAGAAAATAAAATGATTTGTACTACTTTGAAAAAATACTGCTTCCTTTTTACAATCGTTTCGGAACAAAATAGCTTCGACGAAAATTATTCATTAACGCAGGTAGTTTTGTGAGTAACATTTCCTAGAATTTAATATTTCTTTTAGAAAAGAAAAACTTGTCTAGTTGACATAGAATGTAAATATTAAAAACTAACTGTCTAATTGTATAGATAATACGAGACGAAATATTATTAAATTTTTTATTCTCACTAAATTTAGTCAATATCGAAAATAAATCAAAAGTTCTCTTTAGGTAGTATCATTAGAGACGCAACGGTAACTCTAATGCATACATTTGAAATCTATGATGAAATTTGAATTTTTGACATTGATAATCATCATTCTCTACAGGTTGTCGAAATTAAACAAATAATCATTGCTCACCGTTACGTTTCTACTACAGTTATCAGAGATGAGATTCGATTCGTTTTTTTTAAATCATACTGATTCTATCTCTAGTAGCTATTTCACTGATTATAATAACTGTATCATAAGAAGGTGTATTAAACTCTGATTTTTAACTATTTTTTAGTCCTCACCTGCTGCATCTATTTCTATTTAAATTTAATGACAGAAAAATCGCATTATTTCATTTCATCATATATTTGTACAGAACAAGAATATGTGTAAGATAAATAACATCATTTTTTTTCATAAGAAATATATTATCTTTGAAAAAAATCTTTTGTACCTATCAATAAAAACAAAAAAGAAATAGGAAATGAATCACAAAGATAGTTCGCGCAAGGGAATTTAAATTACAGGAGTTATCTCTGCTATTTCATACTCGTTTTTAAACTGAAGATTTCATTTACTATATATAATGTATAATATCGAACTCTGATACGAAAAGATATGATCTGAATAGGATCAATTTAATAAATATAATATAATGATAATTACCATTAAATCATGACTAAGAAGAAGCGAATATACTAATTTTAACTCTAATAAAAATTTAAAAAAAACACAATAGAAAGAGAAAAACACGTGCTTTCACCGTGGTGTTATTGCAATGATCATTAGAGCATCACCTACCTTTTTTGTGATCCTAAGAGAAATAAAACTACCGGTAAGAAGAAGAAGTGTGTAGGTAATATTTTGTTTTTCTCCTACTATAAATGACGACACGTTTGTTGATATTATCAAAGGTATGATAGAAAAACAAGAAAGAAAAAAAAGTATCGAAAGAAAAAGAATGAGTGAATAATTTTTGTTTTGATCAATACGTGTCCTTCAATATGTTCAGTCTTCACGCAAAGATATATTACTTGGTTTTTCGATATTTTAGATTTTATATGTAATGACTACTCTTTGTAATAGAATTTTATTTATTATTTATGATAAAAAATAAAATATTGAGTATCGATATTTCCAGTTTTAAACTGAATATGACGACGAGTGCAGAAAAAAAATACTATTGATGCTTGGATTCACATTCTATTGTAATTGTATGAACCGATCTTGGTGATATCACATTAAGCGTTGAAGATGATCGTAGTCATTCAATTAAAAAAAAAGAAATATCAATTTGAATATTCAGACAAAGTGTAAGACACGTGCTATATATGATATGATATTCATCCTAGATGTTCACTATTTATTTATTTAATAGAATCTGTAATAATTTCCTAATAAAGAATACAGATAATTCTATAAATATGAAGTATATTTTTAGACGTTATATCATTCTTTCGATATGAACTATACTTTGTCATACCAATAATAGTGTTACAAATTTCTTGAGAATGATTTATGGTTAGAAATTGATTCAGATTAATTCTCTCTGGAAGTTTCGATCAGTCATATTTAGTTCGAAATTTCGTCACTTTGTACATTTATCAATATACTATTGCGACATTTTTCGTTTCTTTCTTTCTCATATGCTTTCGGACGAAATAAAAAATAATACCTACGCACATTGACTCAGCATGGTAGAAACACGTAAATGATCAAACTGAAGCGCTTCGATTTATTGAGGCCCACTACCGAAAAATATCACTGATTGATATCTAGTACTGTATGCATCCTTATTTACTTATATGTGTTATTCAAATTAAAATAAAACATAAAAATTTAACTGATAAAGTAATGAAAGAAAACTCAACAAAAATAATTCAAATACGAAATAGATTGTTTCATGACGTTTACATAATCAAATCTAATTCTACTAGATTTTTAAAAAATATATAAAGGACGCAGATGCATAAAAAAAGATGTAAAGTGAGACGGCAAATTCTATACTGTATTATTTTGACTAAAATAGTTTCATTTGAAAAAGCAAGAAATTCTGCACAAGTATCTATACAAAAAAAAAATTATAATAAATATTCTTGTGAATATTTCATAAAATAAAATTCAAAATATATCTTTAGTTTTTCATTAATCAGAAATCATTTTCGCTAAATAAGGTGTGAGTGTTTCATTTTAGCCCGTACCCTCAAATAGTTTAAAAATCAAAGCATGATATCATTTTTTTTCTTTGTTATAATAATCATATCATTGGAAAAATTGATATGATGCTTTAAGTCAATAAGGTTTGCTGTAAATTATAATATTTATATATATATTATTTTATTTGTTGAAAAAAATAAGTAACAAACAAAGAACAAGCATATACTCAAGTGTGTTAAGTGGTTGTAACAATAGCAATATTTACACCCACATCCTCATCCTCAATTATATGAGAGCACAAGTACGATACTTTTTCACAGTTGGATCTGAATTTGTCTTAGTTAATGAAGGATTATCAGTTTCTTTATGAATTTGTCCTTGGCCATTAGTAGTCGGATTTAATGTCAATCTTGGAACATCATTTTTATTACTACTTATACGCATTGAATTTGCTTCAATCTCACTTTTTAGCTTCGCATAGTTCTGAGTAAAATCATTCTTCGTAAAATCAATATATAAACTAGTACCCACAAGAAGTCCTAACCAACCGCACGGTTTGTATTTCGATTGTAAAAATAATGGAATCATAATCTTTTGTTGAACAAATGCATATTCAGCTTCTTTTTGACAACTACGCGATTGACTATAGTTTTCCGTTACACAGTAGAGAAATATATCGGAACTTTCGACACCTTGTGCCATTGCAACTAGTGTGTTTCCATGCATTTGTTCGAAGTCAATCCATACATTGTAACCATCCTTTGTCAAGCTTTCATAAATGTCAGTGCATAATGGCTTCGAAGCATGATTATAACTGATCATTAGTCGAGGCTTGTTTACAGGTTGTTCATTAGGACGAGAAATAATGGGAGCCCGCATCGGTAAACGTGACTTGGTTGGTCGGGTAGGACCGACAGTGTCTGTCTTTTCCTTAGAAGGAACCGAAGGATTACGTCGTCGACTGGAAAAACGAAAATATGCAAATTCATCGGTATTAGCAGATACCATTTGTTTGTCTTCTTGTTCAAGGAAAATAGGACGTGTCAATGCTTCGTCATCTTCGAGAGAAGAAACTGATATGTCGGCAGTAAATTCTGGAGCTTCAGGCTGAGGAATGGTGTGCATATGAGTATCTGGCTGTAAAAGTTTCTTGAATATATCATCTGCAGTTTTGTCCTCATTGTTAACTACATAAGATGAACTTAATTGAAGTTTTTGAACAGCGGAGACAAGTTGTTCATTTACATCATTGATTTTTGAAATATTCTTTTTCGTTGTAATTGCATCACTTAACTCATCAAGTGTGTTTGCAAGGTTTTTGAAAAAGTTGTTCGATTCACTTAATAGTAAAGCTGTTTCAATTTGTTTGGCGGATGAATTAGTTAAGATATTAATTAGCTTTGTAATCGAATCGAAGATAAGTGAGAATGGTTCAAGTGAATTTCGATTTACAGTAAAAACTTGACGAAGAATTATAAGTGTATTTTTTGTACCTATAATATCTTCAATAAGAATATTTTGATCCATTGAGTCTATTGTTCTGAAACAGAAAAATAATAATACTTATCAATATTAAAAGTTTTCTAAGATCCAATCACATCCTTCAAAAGTTCTACGCAATTTGAAACCATTTTTTTCTTCTTTTTAAATAACAATTAACGTTACTTTTTTTCGGCAATGACTTTCATTGTTGCATTATATATCTGCTTCTAAAATTGTGAGCAACAACGCATAAATACATTTAAGCTTTGATAGATTGCTTCTTGATATAATATATAATCTTTCAATAAAATTCAAGTACCAAGCGTCACTTCATACATAACTGATATAGAAAACAGAACAGGTTTATTGCGTTTAATTTCTTTTTTTTTGTTACTTGTTACATTGTATTATAATAAAATATACCACAGGATTTACTGCAAAAAGTTCCACAATTTATAACAAAAAAATAGCCTATTTTATACACAGATCCTGTGTTTTGTAAATTGGTAAAACTCTGTGCAACTAATTCAGTTATTATGAATAATACTGAAAGTAGCAATAGTAGAGTTAACCAGGGTGTGAGTATTGCTTTTATCATACCGCCACTGACTCTCATTCTCAAGATGGTGGCTTTCAAAACTTCAATAAACTACATGGATGAAATCGCTGCTATTTTCATGTAAGATCAACTTGTGTAATTAGTCTTGCTTAATTTAATATATCTCTGTCGGACATTAAAATAGATTGGGTCAATGAAATGTATGTATCCAGCATATGAAATTACTTTTAACAACAAACATCGTTGTCGATTGGTTTAAGATTCATATTAACTGCTTATCAGTACCAGTTTCATCACTAAATATTGATGTTATCTGATATTAGTGAAATCTCTCGTATATCTTCCTGGAAAAGACTTTTCGTTGTTTTTACTGCTGCTACTCGTTGTTCGCTTTTACTTTCGATGATTTATCAGTTAAACATCGGCATATGAAGCACTTTAATATACTATTTGACTTTCACTAATTCTTCTTACTTTATAACTGATTACGATATTCTCAAGTTGACAGATACTTTTTAATGCATGATATTATAAAATCTGCTCTATACTATCTTTAGTCGTAGACTTAGATGTACCATACTTTAATAACTAGTTGAGTTGATGGTGTTGAATGTTTAGTAACAACACGGAAAACGAATGCAGTACCTTTTTTTAAAATAAAATCTCTACAGAAAAAAGTCTTATCGATTGATTCGAAATTGTCAAAAATATTTTTTTATATATTTTGCTCAGCTAATAACTCCACAATTTGCGGAAGAATATCATCAAATACAACAGATTCAGTTAAATAATTAGGCAGACCACCCAAAGCAAGTACCGTTGTTATATTGAACACTATAGATACAAAGTAATTTAATAACGTTACTCTATCTCGAAGTGTTGCAAAGTCCGCTATGGATTAAACAAATGTTAAACGGGCTTTCTAATCTTGTTCAAAAACTAGAATACTCAAATATTAATCAATTAAAAATCTACCTTGTCAAGTATACCGTTGATTCACTCTAATGGAGATGATAATAACGATCAGTACTAAAGTTTGTAATAGTAACAAATTGTATCGTCAAGCGAAGTAGCCATTAAGAACGTATCACCAAGTCTCTTGCTAAGATATTGATGATTTTATTATTAATAACAATATTTTATATTAAATTTAAAACGATTTAATAATTAGTATTAACACAAAAATCAAAGTTAATCAAGAAGTTCTCAATAATATAACAGATGGCGCTCATCGCTTATTATCCAAAATACGAATGCGTGCGGTGTGTGATACTTAAAAGGAAACAAGAAAAACTGGTTCAAATGTCTGAAAGATACATATATAATTTATTAGATAGGTATGAGCTTCCAGAATTTTTAAAATATATCGCACCTGATGATTAGCTTTTCTATGTGAATATATTAAAATATGGATGAAAATTAAATTCAATACGTTTCTTAAGTTATACCACATGCATCAATAAAAAAGAAAAATTTTCGATTTCGATTCCCTTTTTTTGTGAAATCGCTGATTTCTAAACCGAATCATTGTCAGCTACTTCAAAACATCACTTTTATCTTTTGATAAGTGAATCTAGAAATTGAGAAAAAACATATTTTTGGTTTTGATTCTATTTTATTATGTTTTGTACATTTTATGAGATTTAGTTTTATTGATAAAAAGCAAATAAAATGAATTTTTTTAGAATTGATGATCCTGTTCCGCATAATTTCGATCACGATTATAATAATTCTGATTGGATCCGTGTGCTTCAAGATCATCGTTTGGACTAATCCGATGCGTGCCATGTAAAATATTGATAGGAATACCTCCATCCAATGGTAAATTCGCTTTCCCTTTTTTATCTGAGACGACATACGGTAAAAAATCTGGATCATAATGACGCCAATTGAGTATGAATTTAAATGAAACGAATGCCACAAGTGAACCTACTATCCCACCAACTAACACATCATTCCAATGATGATGAAAATCAAATATACGAGAATAACCAATATACAAGCCAAGTATAGCAAGACCTGTTTGAAATATATGACCAAGAATACCAAGATGACGCCATGACCATGATACATGAATATACATAACCAACCAACCGAAACCAACTAGAAGAAATCCAATAGAACTTTTAATCGAAGGAGAAAAGGATAAACTTACAAAAGACTGGTGAAGTGTGTCCACTGAAGAATGATCGACTAAATAAACAATTCGATGAATTCATTATCATATGTATATATCTAAACTCACCGTGCATCTCGCACAAGTCCAGAATCAGTGTTTAAACATGTGTAATTAATTCCAAATTGTAAATACGAATAAAATTGATTTGTTGTCAAAGTTGAGCAATCGATCGATGGTTGACATACCGCAAGAAAATGTGGTCTTAATTCACCTACAAAATTCTTGGTAATTTCTGTTAAAACCCATGTAGAAAGATAACCATAAGCAAAAACAACTAAATAAATCGAAAAGAACATCGATCGGTTCGAGAAGAAAAAATAAATTTTACCGGTCAGTATATATAAATTACGAACAAATGGTGTGATAGTTGTTACTTTTTCACCACAAAATTCTAAACGTGTAAAAAATACTTGTTTGGGATATCGATTAAAATAAAATCGCTTAGCAAATTCTGTTGACCACATCTAATGAAAAAAACAAAAAGAAATTGTTTTTATTCGTAAACTCAAAGAGATTATATTACCCAAACAATTGGTAGTCCAATTGATAGAATAATTGCTGCATAGATAGGAACCGTATCACCTTTATACGGATATCTTATCGTTGTATCCGAACAAAAGAAACCACGTGTAAATGGTTGAATCAGAAAATGTGAAATAGCCGATACAGTGAGTACTAAAAAGAAATTTATTGTTTCGGATAAAGTAATAGGTCGTCTTACAAACTGAGAGAGTAATAATATCAATAATGACACGCCAGATTGTTTCCGAATGGTGATATATATCGGTTGTTGTCGGTGGTGTTTTGGTTTCTGGGACGAGCATCATGGAATCTCCTGATCAATGTGAGAATTGAATTAGTTTCACAGAGTAACTATTTCTTCGACGTTGTTGTTGTGCGACTACTAGAAGTCAAAGAAAATCTGATGTGCGAGATCTGAAACAGAATAGAGAACAGAAAGAAAAAAATCTGTTTACATATGCATTTGTCAAAAAAAAAAGAAAGGCATTATTACTCATACGAGCGTATTTTTTTCTCATATTAAACAGACGCAGAATAGAAAAGTGCAAATAAAATGGCGACACTTCAATAATGAATCACATGGCATCATTCTAGAAAGTTTTTCGATGATACAATTTTTATATTCATTTTTGTATGCAATAAAAAATATTATTGTAGTTGGAGAAACTGTTTTCCATACTAATCGACAACTAATTTCTTATTATCTTTATTAAACTCCAAATGACTAATATTTGTTTTTAACAATTTGAAATCTTATTAAAGTAGAAGCAAAATTATTTATTCTATGACCTTTCGTATTTAGTTTTTAAAGAAAAAGTACATCGTTTAAATAGAGTTTGAGAAATAATTAAGAAAATTATTTCTCTGGAAGTAATTTTAATTATAACAAACTCATGTTGACGACAAATTGCGCACAATACTTTTATAATTTTCTTAAAATATTTAATATTTGTTTTGTCTTAAAAAGAATGAAAACTATCATTGACAAACAAATAATAGTTAATCAATTGAATCTGATAGAACACAAAATTCTTTCAATCGGTGGGAGTGAATTTAGATGTGACGATAATCAAGGAACTCCCATATAAAGTTCATAATGAAATCGATGTAACGAAAGAAAAAACTGAGTTCATTGTCAAAAAAAATGATAAATAAATATGTGTGACCTTCAGGAAGAAAAAAGAAAAAGAAATTGAGTTATTGATTACTTTAATTCTTTTTGACGAAGTTCTGTTGTTTTTTTTTCTGTTGACTTAAAGTAAAAAATATTAAATGTATGCTGATCAATTGTTTCGTTTGCGTTTTTATTTAAGTAATAGATAAATGTTGTTGTAATATTAAAATTGTCTATTTGGTACTGTGACTATTACTTTTTTTCGAATATATGTCATAACAACACGTGAAAATAATAAAACATGTTTTTACTTAAAACTCTAGTTAGAAAAATGTTATACTAAGTAATGTATTTTAATAAGGAATATATCATGCAGTAGAAGTTAAATCTCGATAGCCGATACGTTTATGAGGACTATTTAGTGGCATTCGCTGTATCATAAAAGAAAAGTGTAAAATAAGGAGTAAATAGAAAGACGTAGAAATTATGTTGAAAGAAAGAAGAATGTGAACGAAAGAATAACAGAAAAAAGAGAGAAGGAAGGAAAGAAAAAAAGAAAGAAAGAGAAAAAGGAGTAAACAGTAGAAAATGGTAGGACTCCTGCATTTTTGCGTAGTAGTTCGTTTTCATAACGACAATTATTTCAGATTGAATGATTCTTGTTATTCCACTGTTTTGCATGCATGTCGAAAAAGAAATTAGTCATTCATATGATCATTACTTTTTTCTTTTTGTAACATTCATTGCAGTAAAAACATTATTATAAGATGATGAAATATCAAGATCTGTTGTATACATAGTTACTTGTTATTCATTTTTAAATATAACAGGGGTCTTGCATATTTAACTGACGGATGGAAACATATGCGGATGTTCACGAAAATCTGTGATTGTCTTCATCCCTGAAAAATATTTAAGAGGCATCCATAGTTCCCAAAAATTATAATGCGTATCATATTCACTATTATCTATTACACGTTTTCAATTTGAAATATAAGAAGGCCAAAGAAACATGTAAAAGAGTGTGAGTTAAGACGAAAGACACCCACATTCACACCCTGAACAGTACGAGACAGAGACCGGTGGGATGCGATATCAATACTGTACCGTACCGTACTGTATCGTCTCGGGACGAGACGGTATTGAAAAAACAAGAAGTAGGGCGGGACGGGACGGTATCAATAAGCCGCGGTACGAGACGGTATGCGGTATCAGATAGCTATACCGCTCTCCCGTGTCGTAGCAAAAAGCCTTTTGGTAATGTTTTTCAGAGACATCTATTGTATATTTTTTATGTCTATTTAAATATTATTTATATATCAGTTTGTACGCGTAACGTGTCACCTTAAAAGTGGAAATTTTTAGCCATACTTGTGAGAGTTTTCCATCACCACCATCTAAATCACATCTCGAAATGTATCAAAAACTTTTTGATTTTCATTAGCACATATGATTAATTATATCTTTCATCTTTTAACACATTTCTCGAGTCCTTAATAAAAAATTATATGGAATATCCGTCTCGATCATGTCATTGCCACATCTCACTGGTCGAATTAGTACAATATAAATTTAAAGCAGCTTCGACTGACGAAGAACATGCTAGTAAATATCTTACTATATGAAGCAAAGTATTAAAATGAAACCTCGTTTCCCACATTTTTATTTATGGTAACAACAAAATACAAAAGATTTAGCTGCGTCATCACGTTACATTCATGCAAGCGGCTTTTCATAGAGGGGGAACATATATTTTGGAATTTTTTTCTCGATTGAATACCTCAAAGTGTTAGCTAAAAACCTTAGTGAGACGTAGTTATTAATATAGGATATATTGGACGAATAAAGGAGAATAATCATCTCACTCTCAATTTTATGGTCCTTTTTCGCCACCGCGTTATGCTCGGTATTCTTTATCTGATATTCTTACAGCTTATCCAAACAAATTCACATTTTCTGACATTGTTGGGAAGGCAGAAGTCTATCTTCCAACGAAAGAGTGAATTGTTTAGCTCATATATATGAAAGCAGAATAACTGATAAGAATGTGGGCAAAAAGTCATCGCGTCACGCTTGTACAAGCTGATATATGAAATTGTTTTTATTGATCTGCTCATAGTTTGTATTTGTTGTCGACATTCTTCGAAAATGTAATCTATATATGAAATACAACAGATAATAGTCGGTTTAAAAACAAGCTAGAAAAATTGTTCTGACGGTACGGTATTTCGTGAGACGGTATACTATGAACTTCATACGGTAACGGTACGGTACAGTTAGGCATGCACCAATTCCAATTCGGTTCGGTTCCAATTCTAGAATTGGT